ATATTCCTTGCCTGCTGCTCAGCCAGCACGGGGGGCGGGGGGAAGTTGCCGTTATTGACTCTGATTCTCTCCTGCCTTGCTTCTTGTGCTATCGTTTATACCTGATCACAGTGACTACTAAAGTGGGGATCAACTACCTCAAATACTCACTCAAATACCTAATTCTGGGGGAAAATAACACGGAATCGGAATGATTTCAGCCTGTCTTCACCTCATGAAGAAGAGCTTCAAATATATAAAGTCCTTCAGAGAGAAATTATTTTAAAAAGCCAACTAAATAAAGTGGATTGAATATAGAAAAACCAGTGGCTAGGGAACTGGACAATCTGGGCATCCTAGAAGTCCGGGAAGTCTCAGATCCTGGGGATGCAGGAAATTCTCCAGTCCATCAGCACAGCAAGCAGGCAGCCTGGGCAACTGGCTGTCCAGGAAGATGGGGATCCCAGGGACCAGGTAGGCTGGGGAGCCTGAGAGCTTGGAGGAACAGGGCTGCTTGCCCACCCACTCATCAGCCAGCAAGCATGCACATGGCCTGGTAGGAAACCAGGCAAGAAGACTAGGCTTCCCATGGTGCATTTTAATTCAGTCTGTAAATGTGTGGCCTCCTCCCGAATGTCTCTTTGTGGCTTTGAGGCAGCCCTGCAAGTGGCCCCTCGTCTCAGTTTCCCTTTTGGGTAACTCCAAGCTCTTCATTTCAGGCTCTTACTCAAACAGTAATCATCCTGGGGGCCAGTTCCCCAGGCTGCCTGCCAGGTGTGCTGCCGGGGGGTGGGTGTGGGGGTGATTGCCTGAATACCCAGCATCTGGGATCTCCCTGACTTCCAGGGAAGTACTCCATATCATCCCAGTGCATACAGTCCTTGTTCTCCCCATACCCCAGTGTCCTCCATCACAGCTTAGCTCCTTAGCTGTCCTCTTCCTTCCCTGTGCCAGAACAGTCCCCTCCCCTCCCACCGTCCAACCCTTCCTTCTCAGGTGCAACCCCCCACTTCCTAGTGGGCACTCCCACATCCTTGCCAGGGAGCATCCCTCACTCCCCTGGCCCTTCTCACTGTCCATTAGGGTCCAGCTGTTCTGCAAGGAGACGTCAGGACATAAGCCTCTCTGCTGCTCCACCTTCCTTCGGCCCTCTCTGGACATTGGCTGCACTTCTCTGGGTTGGAGCCAAAAGGCATCTCCCTCTTATGTTGCTCCTGCCTTCTTTCTCACCATGCAAGGCCCAGTGACAGGGGTAACAGCAGCAAGATCTCACTTTTCCCTCATCACTAGAGCCAGTTGGGAATTTTCCATTGGGATGATCTTCTGGTAGAACATACCTTTCTCACAAAATTTTAGGGAGGAAATTTTTATTTTTGCTGATTTTTTTTTCCATTGGAGAAGTCGAAAGGACAGGACTCAGCTACCTTCTTGGAAAGTCCATGCCAATCTCGTGTTCTACCAACAGAGAGGAAATGAAATGGGGAAGAGCCTTCTAGGCAGGTGGCCAGTCAGCCAAAAAAATCCATTTTGGTTTTCCCAAAATGGAATTTTTCAGAATTTCCCTCCCACACAGTATTTTGAGATTTTAACTTTTTGTCCTGAGTTAGGATGATTATTTTTTTTGAAATCTCAACATTTTCCATAGGAGAGAAATTCCATTTTCAGGCCAGCTCCTCTCGCTTCTATTTATTATTAAATGATGAAACTCATCCTCTTAGTTAGATTCAGCGAGGAATAATTTTCTGGTATATTGTCTTCCTCAAGGCGTCCTTCACCTCCTTGTTCCTCAGGCTGTAGATCAGGGGGTTCAACATGGGGATCACAAGGGTATAGAACATGGACACCACTTTGTCGTACTCTGATGAGTTGCTGGATGTGGGTCGTAAGTACATAAAGAACAGAGCCCCATACAGTATGGACACAGCCATCAGGTGGGAGGTGCAGGTGGAGAAAGCTTTGCGTCTGCCCTCGTTGGAGCGGATCCGCAAGATGGCCACCATGATAGAAACATAGGAAATGAGGATGACCAGGATAGTACTTAGTGCAGCTACAGCAGCAAAGAGGAAATGCACTGTGTCACCCACGCGAGTGTCAGAGCAGGAGAGTTTCTGGAGTGGGGGGATGTCACAGAAAAAGTGATCAATGATATTGGGGCCACAGAAGGACAGGCTGAACAAAGAGCCTGTATGCACAATGGCATTAATGGAGGCATAAATGTATGATGCCACTACCAACTGGACACAGACTTTCCTGGACATAATGAGCGTGTACATCAGCGGCTTGCATATAGCTATGAAGCGATCATATGCCATCACAGCCAGAAGTAAACCCTCAGAGTTCACAGAGAAGGAGTGGAAAAAAAATTGCGTGGCACACCCAGCAAAGGAAATGACTTTACTCTCTGCTAAGAAGTTCACCAGTGCCTTAGGGGCAATAATGGAAGAGTAAGTGAGGTCTACAAGGGACAAGTTGCTGAGGAAAAAATACATGGGGGTGTGTAGCCGCGTCTCGATCCTGATCAAAGAGATCATGCTGAGATTCCCCGCTAGGCTCATGCTGTAGATAAGCAAAAACATCCCAAAGAGGACAGCTTGCAGCGATCGACTGCCTTTGAATCCTAGAAGGATGAACATGGACACTCCAGTATGATTGCCATGCGCCATATATTCCAGGTGCGATCGATGCTGTTGGGGTAGAAGAAAGAAACACAGCCAAGGTAAAGCGTATGATTCAAGATGAACTGCATGGGGCTGGGAGGTGGATACCACCATTGTGAAATACAGTAGAAAGCCAAGATACAAAAGCCACGTTATGCTGGTCCGGCTGTGTGACATTTGCAAACTTAAACTCATGTCATGTGAGTCTGTTTAATTGCCAAGATTTTTACTCCTTTTAAAGAAAAGAGATTATAAAATAAAATAGAAAGATCACTTCAGAATTTTCAAAGTTTGCATCCCTGGCATTGGCAAATATAGCTTCATGGTATTCTATGGCTAGGCATCATTTGAAAGGAAGTAGAGACACTAGAAAGGATCCGGAGAGGAGTGACAAAGGTGGTCAAAGGGATGGAATGCGAGCAAAGGCTGAAGGAACTGGGTATGTTTAGTTTGGAAAAGAGGAGATTAAGGAGGGACATGATAGCCATCTTCAACTACTTGAAACACTGCCATAAAAAATTGGAGAAAAGTTTTTCTCTCTTGCCACAGAGGGCAGGACAAGTAGCAGTGGGTTCAAACTACAGCACAGCCGATTTAGATTAAACCTCAGGAAAAGCTTCCTAACTGTCAGAACACTTGGGCAATGGAACAGACCTGCCAAGGGAGGTTGTGGAAGGTCCTTCACTGGAGGTTTTCAAAAGGAGGCTGGATAGCCATCGATCTTGGGTGGGTCAGACACAACAAACACTGCATCTTGGCTGGGGGTTAGACTAGAACATGACCCATGTGGTCCCTTCTAACCCTATGGTTCTATGATTCTCTGAACTCTGCAACAACCTGATATAGAGCAGAAAGGTGGATGAGGTGTTTGAAAACCAGCCTTATATTGCAGCACTAGCACCCTTCCATAATTAAATCATCAGTTAGGAACCAGGATATATTTATGACAAGTCAGCCAAAACCTCACTTTTGGAATAAAGTCCCAGAGTAAATTCAACAAAGACAATTCTTTTGGAGATAACTAAGTTAATATTCACAAAGGGGGTGTTCACATAACTAAAGGAGGTATGAATGAACTGCAGAGTTCAACAAAGGGAGGCTGTAGTTAAACCATGGTTGAAAGAAGCCCTCACACCCGTTCTGGCCCCTGGCACTAGCATGGAACTGGCATAACTCAGCGAGGAATCAGAAGCAACACAAGTGGGTTTGGCAAAGATCACCATTCAAGAGAAAACCAGTCTACTGAACAGTGATACGACTAAAACATCTCTCTCTCTCTCCTCTCTCTCACGTTCACTATGGCAATATCACCCTCCCACCTCACCTGTTTTTGGCCCTGTAGCGCAAGCCACACAAGGCAGAATCAATTGACCTGGCCTCTAAGACTCTCTGCCACGGGTTATTTTTCCTTTCTGCAGTGTAGACATACTTTGAAGCTCTGTTAATCTCGCTCGTGTACCCAGAGTGCGTGGAGACAGTGCTTTCTTTCTCAGAAGATATTTTGAAAGCAGAAACATTAAGCAGCTTCATAGTGAATACACACCCGATAGCCACCTAGAACTCCACAATGAGATGCCCCAGTAGCAGGGAGTGTTGGTCAGACAGCGTCCAGGGAGACGGTTACTTGGAATCCAAGTGGGTCCAAATGTGCTTGTTCTTCCACTTCAAGCTAATGAGAAAATCTGAAATATACACGAGCTTTTTATTTTCGTTCCATTATCTCTGTGTATCCACCCTGACCCCTAGCAGAGACTAGTGTGTTGGGGGAAGCCAGTGCTGCCCGTTCTGTACAGAACGTTCTTTCTACAGAGAGACACCATCTCTCTCTAGGGCTGCCAATCTAGAATATTTCACCAGCAGAAAACCTGCTCGAAGAAGTTTAAAATGAAAACATTTGTTGTTCAAAAGCATGAACTGCATTTACAAAAAAAAAAAATCCCTTGCAACTTGATTCCTGGCAAACAAGGGGTATTTTTATCTTACCTTTTCCTTTTTTTTTTCCATTTGAGGAGCGTATACAATAACTTAACTCACTGAAGCACATTGGGTCAGATCCTTAGTTGGTATAAATCATCACAGCTCTATTGCGGTCGATGGTGCTATGAGAATTGACAACAGCTGAGGGTCTGTAGCCCCATATATGACACTGCCTCCCAAAAAATCACATGCCGCATTCAGGGTAGTTTAGGCTTTTTATCCCATTTTACTGCACATTATACAATGAGAGATAATCAAGACAACATTTTGGTGGTAAAAGAGTCA